AGGAGGAGGAGGAGGAGGAGGAGGAGGAGAGGGAGGGAAGGGGGAGGGGAGGGGAGGAGAGGGAGAGGGGAGGGGGAGGGGAGGGGGAGGAGGGACCCGTGGTTCGCGATGCATATGTGGCAGAGGATGGCCTTGTTGGACATCAGTGGGAGGAACCGCCCTTGGGCCTGAGGGGGTTCAATATCTCAGTGTAGGGAAATGCCAGGGTGGGAAGGCAGGAGTGAGTGGGTGGGTGAGGGAATACCCTCGTAGAGGCAGGAGGAGAGGGGATGGGATAGGGGGTTCTGGAGGGGAGACCTGGAAAGGGGATAACATTTGAAATGTAAATAAATAAAATATCCAAAAAAGAAAAAAGAAGCTATTCAAAGAATACAATAGTTTGTGCTTTTGACATAAGCTGTAGAATGCTAACAGAGAACTCAGACACGACACTGACTTAAGTGTATGTCTTGGCTCATAAGATGAGAAGTTGCAGAAAGAAAAGCACTTTAGATTGGGGGGACAGCATTGCTGCGGTGCTAGGGAAACTCAGGGTTCTGAGAGGAGACAAATGCAGCTGGTTATGAAGAGCAACAAGAACAGAAGAGCAGAACACCACAGCTTCTCCCAACAAATGGAAGCCCACAGCTGGGAGACTCCTGCCTGCCTCGCTCCCCACACAGCTGTTCCATCTCAGCCCCTCCCTGTCCTGGCCCCACTCAGAGCCCGAATCAGTGATTTCTATTATTAGGAGAATGGAAGGAAACAGTGACGGGATCTACCTCATTACCACCTGCCTTCAGAGGAGGCTTCCAACAGCTCGTTTTAAGTAGGGAGCCAGGAAATATGGGCAATGGCTAGGGAGCTGTGACGGTAACTATAGCCTCTACCCAGAAATCCCATCGTCGGGAAATATCCAGAGCAAGATCAAAGCCGAAGGCACAAAGCTGCTCCGTGGAGCTCTGCTTCTGCATGGTCCTCAGCGCTCAGCATATGTTGACAGTGAATTATAATAGGCCTGTCTGTAACAGCGGCAATCAGATCCAGCCTCTGCCGTCAACAGCAGGCAAACGGTGCAGGGAATTTTTGCTACACCACATGCATGGGTTACACAGCCCCTAAAAATGATAATTATGAAGGCTGTGTCACAAAAAGAGAAAAATGGCCTGTGGTAGAATTTAAGGGATGAAAGCAGAATGCCAAGTTCCATCAAGACTGTGATCACAACTTGATTCAAATTCTCTGTGCACAGGGATGTAAAATGAAAGGAAAAAAAAACAACCACTCACATGTAGTAAAGCACTGTGCAGAATTTCTCTGTGGCATCTTCCTGACAAGTACAGTTACAATAATCTATGGGCATCGAACTACAATAATAACAATAATAATAATAATAATAATAATAATAATAAAACAAAATTTCCTGCAATGAAAACTCACACAGACCAGCCAAATGGAGGGCCTCTTTGGAATTTATGCCAAGCTAGGAAAGAAATTAGAGAAAAAAATATTTCTTTTCTAATGCATGTGCTGTATATGTGTGTGTGTGTGTGTGTGTGTGTGTGTGTGTGTCTATGCATGTTTTTATATGTGCAGGTATGATCACACATGCATGTGGAAGTCAAAGGACAGCATTTAGGAATATTGACACCCCTCTTTGAGGCTGGGTCTCTCACTGGTCTGGAGCTCATCACTGCTACACTGGCTTGCCAGGGAGCCTCAGGCCTCTTCCTTCCTCTGCCTTCCAAGTACTGGGACTACCAACTTATGCACCACACCCAGTATTTTCATTTGGGATCTGAGGACCTAACTCTTCTCCCCGTACTTGTGAGGCATGAACTTTAACAGCTGAGTCGTCTCTCCTGAGCCTAAAAGGGGAAAAACAACACTGATATAGACTTCATCTTTGCATTGGTTTTCTTATCTGTGTGTAAGAGGAGATGAAAATGGACCAAGCAGTTAGAAGCCTGAATCTCACACACAGTTAGCCCCATGGCATCCTAGAAGGGTGCAAAGCACTTCAGCAGGAGATGTGGGATCAGACCTTAGGGGACCTGGGACAGGGCAAGGCAGACAAGAGTGGTCATGCTTAGGCCATCAGTTAGATGGCCATTTCACATGCATCTTTTACAAGTGCAAAAGGCATCCCACTTCATAGATGAGAAGACAGAAGTTTTGAGCCAGAT